TAAACTCTTGGTTTAACCCCAGCAGCAGCCAAGAACCACACAGCCACTCACTCACTCCCCCACCAACGGGATGGGGGAGCGAGTTAGAAGGATAAAAGCTACAAAAACTCATGGGTTGAGATAAAGACAGTTTAATAGAGAAAGCAAAAGCTGCACACACAAGCATAGCAAAACAAGGAATTAATTCACTGCTTCCCGAAGACAGGAGGTGTTGAGCCATCTCCAGGAGAGCAGGGCCCATCACGCGTAACGGTTCCTTGGGAAGACAGACGCCATCACTCCAGATGTCCCCCCTTCCTCCTTCTTCCTCCCACCTTATATACTGAGCATGATGTCATATGGTATGGAATATCCCTTTGGTCAGTTTGGGTCACCTGTCCCAGCTGTGTCTCCTCCCAATCTCCCCTGCACCCCCAACTTCCTTGCCAGTGTGGCAGTACGGAAAGCAGCAAAGGCCTTGGCTCTGTGTAAACTCTGCTCAGCAATAACAAAAACATCTCTGCATTATCAACTCTGTGTTCTGCACAAAACCCAAACATAGCCTCATACTAGCCTCTATGAAGAAAGTTAACTCTACTCCAGCTCAAACCAGCACAACTTACATATTACAAAGCGTTATGGTTTCATTAAGAAGCTCTTGATGCCTCTGCTACCCCTTTTCCCCCCAAAAAACTCTTGATGCAAAAGTGGCACAGCCTACAGCAAAGTACCATATATCAATTTTGTTTTGTTTGTATGTTGTGAGGTGTTTTGTTTGGGTTGTTTGGTTGTTTTTTTTTTGAATTACCATTTTTGGAGGGTTTGGGGGATGTTTTGGTGGGTTTATTTGTTTGTAGTTTTGATTGTTAGTTTGGGGGTTTTTTTGGTGCTTTTTTTTTTTACTACAGCCATAAGAGATTTGATGCAGAGTTTCAGAGACATTTAGCTGACACACCAACTAGGGCCTTCAAGGAAAGAAGAGTTTTATGATGGCCTTACTTTGATGAGCATTTCGATCTTAAAGTGCTCTGCCAACATAGTAAGATCAAAAGAATTTCACTTCATCCCCCTGACAGAGTGTTTAGGAGGAGACCTGACCATCTGTGCTGCAGTGTGTGTCTGCCTGTGGGAGAATGGTCACATGAAAGAAAAAGTCTAAAGAATTAAGGATCCACTCAAGAAGCCATCATAAAATCTATGGTTGGATGGAAACAGAAAAGAATACTTAGGATTTCCCCACTGTTACTGAAAAACAGCATATACAGCCCAGAATCTTGTACCAGCCCAGTGATAGATTAATTCTCACACCACTCTGGTCAAGTTAGGAGTTCCAGCAGCGGAGTTAATACTGAAATCCTCCAAAACAGTCATAGTGAATTTACAACAAGGACTAAGTGATGTATTCGCGTTAAAAATCAAAATTAGTGTTGTCACTATTTCTGTTGCCAAACTCTTGACTTTCAGACTTCCCGACTTTCCTAGCCAAAATTTTGTGTTATTTACATGAAAGCTTTGACATATGGTTTAAAAAAAAAACCCACTGAGATTTTCATTAGTATAGTGTACAGTTCAAGTGATTCTGAGGCATTTTAAATTTAGGACTAATTTATGACATCTCATAGTAACCTCAGATGTGACGTTATTCCCAACATGCTGCCTGTTGGACATCATTTTTATTTCGCTGGAGCCTGTCACTTTAGAGATGATCTAATCCTCTCAAAATCAGTGGAAACATGTCCACTTGAAAGAAATGACACTGGTTTTCAAGCATAGCTGGACTGGACCTCCCACTGTGGCCTGGACTTTCAAATTAAGACACATTGTTCCAGGGCAGGCAGAACACTGGTGTTAACCAAGCTGGAACTTGGCTGTTAGGGGAATGTAATGCTCAGTATTTGGATCTTCTCACAGAGTGACCACATCTACTGGCTAAACACATCTTTAGTGCAAAGTGTGTGTAAGAACTAAACACTTCCAGAGATGTGGACTGGGTATGTATCTGAAAACACCAACATGTGCCAAAGAGCTGATCATTTTCACTAAGTCCAGGAGCTCTGATGCCTTCATTTGCCATGTCTGACCAGCCTTGGAACATAGAGAAAAACAAACCCAAGCACAGCAGAAGCACCACTGACAAGCCTGAAGGCTTTCTTTGGAAGCTGTTTGCCAACTTTCCAGCATTATGTTGTAACTGGGGGCAATGAGTGGGTGTAAGACTTCACAGTGTTGGACTCAGTGAACTCTAAGTTAGAATGACAAGAAACAATACATCTTTACTGTTAGCACTTGGAGCCCTACTAGAGAATTCATTGTGATTAGGGCTTTTAGACTGTTTTTGCAACACATTCAACATCCTCAAATAATTTTATTCCACATGTATCAAATGTAGTTATTAATTGAAGGACAGTTCAGTATATTTTCCAGTCATTCCTCAAGCTCCATTTACCTTCAGCCACAATTCAACATTGACTTCAATCTGCAATATAAGGCCCTGTAACTCATCTCCTGCTTAGCTCAGAGCCAGACCTTCCTCCTGCTGTCAGTCTTGTATTTTGGAGCAGAACAGGACAGCTTACAGCTTCCTCAGCTGTTAGAATGATTCTGCAAATGTGCTTTTCCTACAGGCTGGAGCAAATCTGACACAGGTCTCCTTCAAGGAATAACGAGCTATGCATATCTAATGCTGTTCTCAGTGAATGACTGCCCTGGGAATTATCTATAGGCTTTTTTGCTCCTGCCCTCAGTAAGAGTGGCAATGTGCAAGCTGAGTCATGTAGCAAGGTTGTACTCAATAATTAATATATAATCTACTTGCACAGAGATTGGATATTCCACTTGTGGTTTATTTGATTTTGATTAAACTGTTTTTAAATTTTAGACATGTCCTGATGGAAAATTGCAAGTGTCATCACTCCTAACATCCAGGAAAATTCAGACAGTGACTATTCAACGTGATATCCTCCTCACCTGAGTGTTCCTTTAACAATCTGCTTCCAAACACTTGCTGGAATTCTTTATTACTCTTTCAAAATGTATCATGTTTCTGCAACCATTCTCTGCATATTGCTCCAGGATTGTATTTATGCCTGATTAGTTTCTGTTACAGGACCAAGAAGGTTTATTCACTTCTATCTAATCTATCACATGTTGCTTCCCCAGATTAAAGTCCAGAATGACCATGTTAATCTCATTTTCTTTAGACTCTAATGCCTTATAGCCAGTGCCTTCCTTCAACACACACACAGCATTAGAGTCCTGGATATCAAGGTGTCAATTTACAAACCTCATTGGCTGATATTAATTTCAAAAGCAAACCCATTTTTGGCTCTCCAGCTTGCCTCATCCTTCATTTCCTTTTATCCATTTTATCTTTCCTGTTTTCCACATTCCAGATAGACTTTGCATTCATGGTATCAAGTCTGTAAGCATTTTGGAGTGTTTTCTTTTCCATATGCCTGTATTACCTTCTGCTTTGCATAGCACTTGTTATGCATGCATGATCACAGACTATTTCTAGCATTAATTAAGATATGAAATTAAAGTGGGAAGTATGCTATTGGTCACATAATACAAACACTACAAATATGCTTTAAAAATGAAATTACTAAAGTGTTAGCAAACCTCTTCATCCTGTCAGAAATAATAATGTTTACAATCTACATGCCACAGTACAGCCAGAATTCACAAGTGGATTTGGAATATTATTTCCACTTCAGAAAGATACACATAAAAACCCTGAGCAGGTCGTTTGGTTTAGATACATATCTGGAAGAAAACAGAGGTCTGTGTCTCCTGCTGTCTGTCAAACCATTCAGCTGCTGCCCTCAGTGACCCTCATCTCACTAACAGGGCTTCCACTGCTTCCTGAGAACAGCTTTCCTTGAAATCCGATTGGCGATTTCAACGGAAAAAAATATCCCATTTTCTTAGAAACTAAATGTTTCACAGGCCCATAATGTTTTAGATGAACCTCTGACAAACATAAGCATAGTTCCAAAAGCAATCTGCCAGATTTCCTGCCCAGAAACTCAGACTCCCATGTTTTGCTATTATAAGGAAACAAGCCAACAGGGATTGTCCCAAATCTAATGGCATCCAAGAGCAAAAGATCTCTGGTATCTCATTATACCAACTGATCTAGACCTGAGTCTTGCATCAGCCAGAAGCCCAAACCACAAGAGCATCCTGTCAGTGAAGCTGCTGGTGTCACCAACCATTCACTCCATCATCTCTTCCTTGTCTCTACAGTCAAAACCAGAGACCTCCCCATTCCCACAGCAGACTAACACACTCCCTATCTCATTGCTACATTAAAAATGCCTTTAACAAATCCCTCAGAAAAGGAGTCAAACCATTCTACACATGTAGAAGATGAATTTTTCATACAAACACATTTACTGAATGTTTTACAGCAGTTTACACATGTACTTTTTTGCTGAATGTGCACGTTAGCACATTCAGTGCACAGTTATCTCGCTGCCCCCAGTGCTCTGCTGCTTTTTCCTCTGCAAACCCACTCCTGGAATACCTCTGTAATGGTGGTGTTAATACAATTTGAGGAATGTGAAATAATAACAATGAAATGCATGTTCCCTGGGACTCTGATAACTCCAGGTAAAAATAATGCCATAGACTGGGAATAGACTCATAAATAAATTTGCACTCAGAAGAGTGACTTGTTTACTCACTCACTATGGAAAACAACACATTCTAAACCCTCGCATTAAAAAGAAATTATCATCCCAACTTCACAATAAACAGTGAGGGATATCATCATGTACCTGCCCTGCACAAAATAAACCACCAGCCAAAAGGCTTTGAGGGTGATTTGTTGAGGGTGTACAGTCTCTTAGGTCCCTTCTATTGCACAAGGGAGTTCAGTGTGTTCCAAACCAAGCAGGAAAAGATTATCTCCTTTAAGGAGCCAATCCTTTGTCAGAAAGGCTCTTTTGATTAGGGCAGCCTTTGTGCACCCTGTGTGCAGCCTCAGTGTGGCAGCATATTACCCACAATTTGGATACTCACGTGCTACGCTAAGATGAATAAATGGACTTGTCTTGTTCTCCCCGTTCTTTTCATTGACTGCCTGGACATAGTAGCCTCCTGCATCAGTCACTGATGCTGCAAGGATCACCAGCTGGTTCTCCAGAGTGATGGCTCTGTTTAGGGAAAAAGAAAGATCACATTGAAATCAGAACAATGGTATCCACTAGGCAAAAACCATACAACACTTCAGGCTTGACAGACTGACAGGATATTCACTGGTCATCTGAGTCAAGATGTTCTGAAATGAAAACTAGCTTGATTTCAAATACATTTACAGGAAATAAAGATCTTAGATGCCTCTAGGCCTTTTTTCTGTTCAGATCATGTAAGATGTTTATGGTGACATGCAGAAAGCTATAGCATATGAAACTGAGACAGTTTAAATGGCAATAAGAAGTTACACAAGAAACAGCAAATGACATCAGAGTCCAACAGGCTGCAAACTGCATTCTTGTGGCTTGAAAACAGCCCCAACAATCATCAGGAGGCTGAAAAGTCAGTTTTGCTGAAAACCTTCTCAACAAGTGTAAGGCAACCTATTAAAGAGTGACACTCAAGGAATAACATACAGTTAATTGAAAAAAAGAAAGTAAAAATCAACATCAGCAGAACCACCAAAGGTAAATTTTCTGTACTGATGGCATCACTAATTATCACATCACATCAGCAAGTTAGAACCTAATGCCTATAGGGTGATCATCTGTGTGTGGATAGGGAGGGAGGAGTTTTCATTTAGCCTAAAGCAGGAAGGAAAGCACAAGCCTGTAGTTAGCTGGGGTGGGCCTGAAGGAGTCAATAAATGTCACTGTATAACACAAAGCTATTCTTAGGGCTGCTGTGCAATAAATGTCTCTAACCTCTCTCACAGGCAACATTACCCACTTGGTCACTTTGCATTTGACTTGTATTAGATGCTCTTTTCTTGACTATAAAAGATAAAGGTTTAACCTAGAGAAGATACGTAAAAATTTTAGGGCTTGACTGAACAGGCCACAGGAAGCTCAAAAAACAGGTAAGATAAAAGAAAATGTAAAATTCCAGGCAAAGCCTGTGGAGCAAAGAGCTGACACTTACAGCCTGGGACAGGCACAGACTTGGAAATCTGACTGCAAGGCTTGGAGGAAGAAACTCCTACTTTCACTTATATTACTCGATGAGAAGTTACACTGAGTTCAGCTGTGCTATTAGTCATATCATTGAGCATGAGGTTGAAACAACATATCAAATTATTATACTGGAAGAAACAAGTTCATATATCAACAGGCCTCAAAAAGACTCAGTGTTAAGTCAAAGTATTTGTACAGTAATCAGTCAATAATAAACAACCCCTGCATTTCATCCTCCTGTTTTAGCATGGGGTGGTTAGCCTTAATAACAAACAACTGGTTTGCTTTGAAAAAGCATTTAAAGTAACAGTGGAAATCACACACTCCTAGTGTAGCATAGGAGTTTCTATGCGTAGGAGGGGCATAAAAAATTACAGTGAGAACATAGCTGTGTTCAAAGCCTTGTATTTTATTCATAACACTTCAATTTTCTGGTGTGGATACCAAGAACCCTGAACTCCTGTAAAGCTATCAGAGAATCACAGAACCACTTAGGCCAGAACAGATTCAGTCCAACCATTAGCCCATCACTGCTGAGAGCATCACTGAACCATGTCCCCAGGTGCCACACCTACATATTTTTTACATACCTCCAGGGATGGTGACTCCACCACTGCCCTGGGCAGCCTGTGCCAGGGTTGGGCAATCCTTTCAGTGGAGAAATTTTCCCTAATAGCCAATCTAAACCTCCCCTGGTGTAATTTGAGGCTGTTTCCTTTTATCCTGTCTCTTGTTACTTAGAAAAGACCAACCCCCACCTGACTCCAACCTCCACTCCTTGTAGAGAGTGAGAAGGTCCCTCCTGAACCTCCTTTTCTCCAGGCTGAGCCCCTAAAACTCCCTCAGCCTCTTCTCATCAGACTTGTGCTCCCCAAAACCCAGCCTCTTCTCATCAGACTTGTGCTCCAGCCTCCAATAAATAAAAAACTGCTGAAAAATAAAGCTGTATTTTCAGCTCTGAAATCAGTCATCACACACCACCTAAAGATACTGTTTACATTGTCTTCACTGACAGTTTCAGTTATAAAAACTACTAAAAAAACCCAAAACTGTTTTCTTGCTTTATTCAATGAATCTGTAATAGTTTAATTAACTTAGAAAATTAATCACCTCCAATAAATAAAAAACTGCTGAAAAATAAAGCTGTATTTTCAGCTCTGAAATCAGTCATCACACACCACCTAAAGATACTGTTTACATTGTCTTCACTGACAGTTTCAGTTATAAAAACTACTAAAAAAACCCAAAACTGTTTTCTTGCTTTATTCAATGAATCTGTAATAGTTTAATTAACTTAGAAAATTAATCAAAGAAACTGTGATAGATTTACAGAGTGAGGATATAAAATACAATTAATATGACATTTAATAAAGCAAATAAAGATGAAATTTCAATACAGTGCTAATAATTGAATATTAAAAGACAATTACATTTACAATCATTTTTACTTTGCTTCTAAAGAAAGGAGCATTAGGAAGAGTCTTTGAAAATACTAAATACATTTCAAGCTGCTTTGATGCCAGTTGCAACTGCACCTGAAAGTTTAAAGGTGATCCTTGAACCCTGGCAAGATAGATGCTGTTACTATCTGCATTAACTATTGACTTGGGAGTGACAGTGGATGAGAAGCTCCCCATGAGCTGCAGTGTGTGCTAGCAGCCCAGAAAGGCAATGGAATCCTGGGCTGCATCCAAAGGAGTGTGGCAGCAGGTCAAAAGAGGTGATTCTCCCCCTCTACTCTGCCCTTGTGAGATCCCACATGGAATACTGCACACAGTTCTGGTGTCCTCAACATGGAACTGTTGGAGCTAGTCCAGAGGAGGCCACGAAGAGGACTGGAGCATCTCCCCTATGAGGACAGGTTGAGGGAGTTGGGGATGTTCAGCCTGGAGAAGAGAAGGTTGTGTGGAGACCTCAGAGCAAATTTTCCATATCTGAAGGGCCTACAAGGAGCCAGAGAAGAACTGCAGCGATAGGACAAGGGGTAATGGGTTCAAACTGAAGGAGGGGAAGTCTAGGTTGGATGTAAGAAAAATGTTTTCTACTATAAGGGTGGTGAGACACTGGAACACGTTGCCCAAGGACGTGGTGGCTGCCCTGAGCCTGGTGGTGTTCAAGGCCAGGCTGGATGAGCCTTGAGCAACCTGATCTAGTTGGGGAGGTGTCCCTGCCCATGGCAGGGGTAGGGTATAGATGATCTGTAAGGTCCATTCCAACCCTTAAATTCTATGATTCTATGATTAAATTGGCTGGAAATTTTGACACTTCAACCATTATACTCATAATAATCAAGAGCAAAGCAAATTCAGAGGTATTTTTGAAGAAAATTGTTGAAAATGAAGTGGGGTTTTTTCATTGTATCACACAAACATTTCCTGGACCGTGAGCAAACTGTAGCATTTATGAGCGAAATGAAAGCAAATTTTAAAGATTCATTAACGAAAGAATATTTTAACAAAAAAAAAATCAGTGCAGAAGGGCTAAACATTATAAATTACTTGTTCAAAATAGTGCAAAAAGTATGATATTAATGTGTATAGAAAAGAGAGTTAGAAGATAATGCAGCTACTGAAGACAACTCTTTGGGGTCATCAATTACATAGTCAAAGTTAAATTAAAAACCCCAAAATGAGTTATTGATATCTTAATAGTGGTGTGAAAAATGGAATGTTTCAATTCATTAACGACAGGCAGGTCCAGAGCCAACCAGGAGCCCTCACAGGCTGTGGAATATGGGAGTTGTATTTCGATCACGTGTGAGCCTTGTGCATCAGGAAAATCAATTAGTCACGTTTTAAGGACTCATTAATTCCAATGTTTCTAAACCATCTGAAGCTTCATGCCCCAGCCCTTCCCAGGGTCACAGCCACTTTCTGCACAACAGCTGCACCGAGCGCCCGAAAATTGGCTTAACATGTTTTCCTGAGTTTATTGTTTGTTTTCATTGTCTGATATAACTTTTAAATTCTGACAGCACCACTCTAATGTTCCAAGGAAAATCTGATTCCTGGCTGCTCAGTTTAGCAGCATATTTGAGGAAGACAACTGCAGCAGATGGAGTGGACCTGTCACTAATTCATACCCAGCACAGAATTCATGAAAAATATAAATATTGCTTTTTTAAAGCAGCATTGAACTTAACTCAACTGAACATTTTCAAGATAGGAACAACCAGGAAGCAAACTAAGCTTCAGGATCCTTTGGGATTTCTTAAGTGTAGGAAAGGAGCATTTTAAATCATATGTTTTAATAGAAGGATTTTTAAGATTTCTCTGGAGCTCAGTGGAATCCTGTAGGGAACAGTAGTCAAAATACCAACAGCAGCGGCCACGGCTGTGAGTGGGAGGTGGTTCTAACGGTGGATTCAGTGGCATCATGTCCAAAAGCATTTCAGTGACACCTTTGCCACAAAAGCAGCCACACACTAAACCAGACTGATCCCAAAGCAAAGACAAGTTGGGCCTTTGAAAAGCCAAGCTCAATGCTTATGAGATGCTGCCTGACCAAAGGCTGTGGACTGATGGGATGGGAAAAGGCAGCAATGATGAAAACAAGTCATTACATACCCTGTTCTTCTAAGTATCTGAACATGGAAATGGTACCCACCTAGGTTTCCATCACTTCCATTCGTTTTCACCAGAATTCAGCACTTGGAAACCTGGTCTAAAAGAAAGTGTCCCTGTCCATAGCAGGGGGCTGGAACTAGATGATCCTTAAAGTCCCTTCCAACCCAAACCATTCCATGATCCTGTACATTCTGGGATTTTTAATTGCACCAAACTATCCAAATACTATAAAACTCTGGTGCAAATAAATCCCTTAGCTTGACCAAAAGATTATGGGAGTTATTTTAAAATCCATGGAATGTGAATCAGGCCTTCAGAAGTAAAGAGAATATTCCAACGGGGATAGCATTACTGTGGACTTTAAGATAAAGCTTATGGAGTGAAATGAATTTTTTTCCTGCAGTGAAAACTGCATCATTTATCTTAAATAGATGGATTTCC